AACTCGTAAGAAATACGAGAGTGCGCATATACAATTGTTCACCTTCCTCAAATGACTTAATAGTTAAAGGATCGAAAATGGATAATAGCACCTTCAAACAGGGCAAGGCCCGATATTTTTCAAATCACTGTAAAAGTAATCTCGTTTATTTTGATGATCATTACAACAAGACTTTAAACAAGGACAAAACAATTACGTAATAATCTAATAAACTATTACACGTCTATCAAGCAGCCAACTCCACGGAGCAGCCCATCTTCATAAACTGATAGTAGCTCAACTGGTCTACATATTACAACTTTTTTCAGAACAGAGATCGTCATTTGATTGTATTTCACCATTTTAAAACAATTCCTATCACCGTTGTCGTGTTTAATAGCTCGGCAAATAAGATGAGTGGCTGATGGATGGTCGACCAACCACTCTCGATTTTGGTCAGAGAGAATAAAGTTTCTCATAGCCATCCGTTTGCCTTGGCCGTGAGGGCTTAGTCGTGCCGAGCTATAAAATTCCCACTCTCTTGCATATATTGTCGAGGTGTATAATGCGAGATGCATATTAATAACCCCCAAAATATGAATAAATATTGTGTACAATACAATAGAACGCTGGCCTTGTAATACTGGGGTCTCGGGTTCGATTGCCGGCGGTGCCCGAATTTATAACTTGTGTTGGGCAAGGCCGTGGTCTAGGCAACACGGAGTTTTCCTCCGTGGCATCCCAACAATTACTCCATTCACACACAGAAGAAGGCAATGGCAAACCACTTCTGGATCATCTGCCAAGAACGTATATGAACAGGTCCCAGTCCGAGAAAAGGATGGAAGGATCCTGTTCATATGGACCTGTCGTCAGACAGAACACTAAATAATAATAATAATAAATAACAATAATCATGCGAAGCTGCTATTACTTGGATAATTTAAATCTCGATATAGACTTAAGTCTGGGTCGAGAAATGCCCAACACGGTGTCCAACAACTGATGTTCATCTTTCAGTGCATCGTTGCTTATATCATAGCCAAATTATTTTGCCTCTAAACGAGTCTCCTTGATGTGAGTTACTTTTCTTACCACACCACAGTAATTTCTCACCTGAAGTACAGTCTGCCACTCCAAGGTCACACGCAAAGGTTTTGACTGTCGCCCTGTGCCACAGCTCAGCCCAGAGTCACGGCAAGTGTAGTTTCATTCGTTTTTCAGTCTAGTTAAGGACGCGACAGCATTGAAGAATCACGACAACTTAATTAAAGATGACAGATCTGAATCTGGGATCTTCCGAATACGAAGCAGATGCTCTTATCTGGATTTTAATGTCATAAGTCACAGATCAAAACACTTTCGATGTCAAGATTTACGCTTTTTTTAAGTTATAAGAAATAAGTTCGAATATTTTAATGAATTTTGGGATAAAAAGTCTGAACTTAATGCTGTTAGAAGAAATGTATATTACTTTAACCGTTCGCTCAAAATTAAAAAGAATAATCTCAAAACAAACATGTAAACAAACAAAATATTAAAGCATAATTTGAAGTTCGTATCAGTACGTCTACCAGAATTCCTGTTGTCCACAATTACTTTTTGATTTTCTATTAAATGTTATAACCTGTGAGGAGTTTTCATCCAGAGTTCGCCATTAAACGAAGCTTAAACCAAAAATTTACCAACTTTCTGTTTATGACGTAAGAAACAGGAATAATTCAGTGATCAAAGGAGAATTTATTGGCGACGAAACGGTCGATGATTAGTCATTATCATCATCGAAACAAATGATAAATTTTAATGACACAGCTCCCAAAAAAGGTACGTTATACGAACAACAAATAACATGTTAACTATGACAGGACTATACGTACGAGTAACAAAAAAGGTCTGAACTTCTGTTGCGACTTCAACACATCGGAAATTAGTTTAGGTTTAGCACGTCATCTGCTCCGGCCTTGAAATTGGCTGGTATAATCAAGGATTTATGACGTGGGAAGAACGTGATCTCATTCCGAGTTTTTGCCACTCAAAATAATGTATTCGTAAGAACGCAGATCGAAACTGGAATGGATGAGTTGTGATTTTTTAAAGGATGTGAAAAAAAAGGTTCTTGGACTGTTTCAAGATTAAGGCACGGGTATACAAACTATTTGGCGCTTGAGCGACCGTTACGGCCACTCCTTGCTGAAAACATTTACGTCAGGCTTCAGTTCTGAATAACAGTCAAATCCGAAGTTAGATGCGTCTTAAATTACTAGTAGAATCGCTACCAATTTCCTGTTCACCGATGTTTCAGACATGCCTGCCGCCTCCATCATCGCCCTGATGACGGAGACAGTATGACCTCTGAAACGTTGGTAAACATCGACCAGACTACACAGGGCAACAACCCAGAAGACAGAAATCTTTATACTCTGATAACGGAGGCAGTAGGACCTCTGAAACGTTGGTTAACATCGACCAGACTACACAGCGCAACAACCCAGAAGACAGAAATCTTCATACTCACCGCTGCGAAAACCTCAAATTTTACTTAAATAATTTCGTGTCTTGTTTGAATGGGTGTGAAACTTGGTTTCCTGTACAAAAAAGGAAAAAACACGACGAGGAAGATCGAGAAAAGGGTCCTGAAGATAATACAAAGCACGGAAATAAGGAGGAGGCTGGAGAAATCTTCGTAAGGCGTTTCATAATTTTTACCCCTCCATCAAATATTAGGCATTCTAGTCCCATTTGGCCCTACACTTCTCGAAAAAAAACCTCGGGCTCCTTATACGAATTTTGGAACCGTTTCCGACATTTCGTAGTACTCTTCGGTCAAGGAGTCTGCCCCTACACATGACAGCACGAAACAGAAAGACAATTGCAGACATCCACAACTCGATCTGGATTCGAACCCTGGACCCCAGAGTCAAAGCCACCAAACCCATATCTTGAGCCGGGTGACTGCTGGGGTCGCCGATGGGAGATAATATTAAAATTGGTTTAAAATGAACAGGGCGAGCGTGTGGACTGGGATTACATGATTCACAAATAGCGGTTTCTTGCGAACACGGCAATGAAGTATCGGGTTCCAACACAAATTGGGGATTTATTGACTGGTGGAGCGATTATTAGCTTATCAAAAGGGGATCTGCACTACTTACTTAAGTAGGAGACGTTTACCAGAATAAAATCACGCACATACGAAAAGACGCGAACCCAAGATTCCGAATAAGTACACTCGCTTCTGCGGAATAAAACGTATATTTTAGAAGCTGAAATACATTTTAATCGTGTGCAGCTCCAAGCAAGTTCATTCGCACAGGCGCCAATGTGTGTCCGATCACGTTAGAGTCACTCCGAACACACGTCGTTCTTGCAGACGTACGGACTCTGGCACAAGAACTGCATAGCGAAATTATTCGACACACACGACTCCCCCAACTCTGAAAATGAAAAAGAAAGTGAGAGAAAGAATGCGCTTTCTCCACGCCAAGTGATGTCCAGCGCCTTCAGTCAGATACAGGATGATTCAAACTTGTCGCACTGAGGTTATCAGCGTCAACATCTGGATCCCAGTGGCGTATCGTTATATGAGGGGAAACAGGGACTGTCACGGCGCATGCGCTGATAAGTCCCAACCACACGAACAGAAAATTAATAAAAAAAAAATCATATTTCCATACTAAGATTTAAAATACAAAAAAATTTCATATTTCCATACTAAGATTTAAAATACTGCAAAGGGCAATTCTTTTGTTTCTTTAACTGAAAATAATGAAACAAGAAGACATTTTGTGTTAAAATAAATTGTTTAGATGTAAAAAAACCGAGACTCGATTAATAAAAGTGAAATTGAAGTAAAACGTCGTAACTCGGAACCGGTGGCGAATCATTAATTGACATTTTCTGATCCAAATAATCTTCCGTAGTGTACTAAGGTTTTTAATCACCCTGTATATAACTTAGAAAAAAAATTCCTTCGCCCTCGTTATATATTTCAAAGTTCCCTGGGGGTCCCAGAAAGGTTGGCAAACTTAAATAACTAACGCTGGTGCGGTAAATCCTGAAGGTTCAGCACCGCTTTTGACTAAACTTGGACGTGGGCTCCCTCAGGACTATTTTCATATTCCCGTCTTATATCCTAGAGTGAATTATGTCGGTGATACAATTACGATTAAGCGTTTCAGTGATGCCAACGCAATACCTTTGAACACCAAGCAAGATGAACAACATTTGCCGACACTGGGGTCAGCCGGAGTGTATTTTCCGGGACACATTCCTTCTTCAACTCCGGCGCATCTGACCACCTGGCAGTCGGTCTGAGCAGTCTCCTTTGTCGCCAGAATGACGTAAAGGAGCGCAGACAGCAGGAGAAACACAGTTCGATCCATCTGCCAACACAGAACGCTGAAGAAATTGGACCGCATTCAATCAAACACGCATTGGAATGATATTCCGTCACGGAAGTAAGGCCATTGAAGTGTGACCTCATCGGTACACTTCATACCTGTTTAAAGCTCGACGGTAAAGCTCGTGTCCCAAGTGCTTTAAATAATCACTAACTCCGCGTTTCGTATTTACGTGTTTCGTAAGATTCTCACAATAAACAGCGATTATTTCCTTAAACAGCGTTAACCAGTTGATCTCTGTAATGGTGAAGTGCGGTGTTTTCTTCGCGGTACGGACTGAATCCTTTAAATACCATTTAGACAAAATTCTGCTTCAAAGGGTTACGAATCACTTCAATGTAAATCAGAATCTTCGTTTCTGTTAAGCGTTGTATAAAGATTTGCTTTCGGAATCCACAGTTTTCCATTCAGCTGACCCCTTCAATCCAGTTACATCGATATTTTTATATTAATATGATATAATTTTAACAACATCATTTAACTACAACGTTTGTGTATAGACTGTGAAAATAAATATATATTTAATCAACACAAACATGACGCATCTAAGCTACAAACCGATATTTTTATTAAATTCGAACAATGACAGGCAATTTTCATGAAGATCTACAGGAGTTTCTAAGAATATGAAGTGATATTTAATCGCGAGAGATTTGTCCCTGGGTAAACACGTAGATATCATCAAACTGAGACAATTATAAAGTTTCCAAAAGCAAAATTTACGTTCTAATGGAGAAGACGGGCTCCCACGAACTGACAACATCGAACGCGCCAGAACTGTTAACGCAATGCGAATATTTCTTAAGTTGTCTTATATCAGGGCTAGTCTAAGATCAGTCGCTTTCTTAAATTCGGAATATCACTTACGAATTGTAAACCCACTGGGTGGATCTGCCGCAAACTTGGTTCGGAAATGTGAACGTGGAAATCCAGGACACAAAAGGCTACCCTGTCTTCGATGGCAGCCATTTTCTTTCATATCGCCTCTGACGGCGAACAATGTTACTACGCGGCCGCGAAGTATACCAACATAAACTTGGAGAGTTTCTCTTTCCAACGGTACCAAATTTGTCCATCTGAATTTCATTAAACGTGAGTAACATGTGTTTCAAATCGGCAACATCATTTAGACTAACCCTGTATTATGTGAAACGGTTAGTGTGTAAGATTAACCTCTATCATTTTAGAACCATAAAACAAAAATTCTGTTGAAACTTGGTTTTAATGTCTTTACAAACCATTTCACAAAAGGGCAAATATAAATTTTGACACGTCCTCACGTCTCGTTATTAAAACGGAGATGAAATTTAGGTTACAATTTCAATATACTTAATTAATCCTTCGAATGCGAGGCAAAGTTAAAACATTTTAGAACGACAATAACAAAATCAAAACGACATACGAAGATACAGAGAGCATATTAAATTCTAGGGACATTTAACTAAGAACATCTTAGCTTTACGTAACGTCCTTAAAATATAACGTAATATAACAGACCTCTAGATACATCGCACCTCTTGATAAAAATTCGTGAGAAAGGGTTTTCACTCTGAAACAAACAAACTATGGTTGTCTGTGAACAAATTACTGGGGAGAACATTAGGACCTTGAAACTAACATTAGGTTGTACGAAATTGCATACTTACGAGATTTGTAATTTGTATGGTATTTTATTATTATCACAGAGTAATAAAAGAAAGAATATTTAAATCCATTGTAATACCGCCTTCCCATCTATGACCGTATCTACCAATCTGCCTTTTACATTCAGACGTTCGGCTAAAATGTTGTATACAAATTTGTGTGTGAGATTCTCGCTGTATACCTTGCAAATCTTATCCAACTTCACGTGATAATGCGAAGGGAAATGTAGAAAATCACTTTCATCCCGAAATATTCGACAGTCGTCAAAGAAAGGCCTACCTGTAATTTAACAATCTGACCAAAGTCCAGATAGCGCGCAGATCGTTTGTAGTTCTCCACACAGACGAAATCCGTTCGTTCGGGGCTGATCTAAAGCTTTATTTGATTGTAATAAGCGACCAGCGCTTGCACGTCGCTCGATTCCGGGAGGAACTGAATGGCCTCGAGCCAAAGAGCAGTTTCCTCGTCAAAACACGATTAGCGCTCTACAGCGTGAGGCCGTAACTCCGGTTGTCCTCGAGTTAATTAATAGCAACTTCTGACGATCTCTCCAATCAGCGATTAGTCTCTAAACTGATCGATAGTCACACATTTCTTAAGCGCCATTCATACACGTTCCTTTCTTATGTATCAGCGCCCGGTACGTCACCGATAACGGCAGAATCAATCCGTGCTACATGTCCGGCCCACATGTTCCTCCTTGAAGAAAGCAGACAAATGTTTGCATGTTAATTGTTTTTACAGGTTTCATTTACTTCAGAAGATGACTGTCTTCTCCGATATTCCGATGTGTGTAGAAATTGACCGACGTTTCAGAGGTTGTTGCTGACCGTCGAAAAGGACAGCGGAAGCCATGAACCTCACGGGCACGGCGCCTGAAGGGCCGACACACTCCTTACGTGTCGTTTTATCACGCACCTGATAGTATATTGACACATGTGTCGCAAACACGTGATAACGAAATGTTTGTTGTGTGTCACTTTGACACAAATAACTCTGTTCGGAACACAAAGCGAAAGGACTGTTGTTTTGTGTGGGTGCGAAACATGGTCTCTCACTCAGAGGGAGGAACATAGATTGCAGGTGTTTGAGAATCGGGTGTTGAGGAGGATATTTGGGCCTAAGAGAAACATGACGCATCTAAGCTACAAACCGATATTTTTATTAAATTCGAACAATGACAGGCAATTTTCATGAAGATCTACAGGAGTTTCTAAGAATATGAAGTGATATTTAATCGCGAGAGATTTGTCCCTGGGTAAACACGTAGATATCATCAAACTGAGACAATTATAAAGTTTCCAAAAGCAAAATTTACGTTCTAATGGAGAAGACGGGCTCCCACGAACTGACAACATCGAACGCGCCAGAACTGTTAACGCAATGCGAATATTTCTTAAGTTGTCTTATATCAGGGCTAGTCTAAGATCAGTCGCTTTCTTAAATTCGGAATATCACTTACGAATTGTAAACCCACTGGGTGGATCTGCCGCAAACTTGGTTCGGAAATGTGAACGTGGAAATCCAGGACACAAAAGGCTACCCTGTCTTCGATGGCAGCCATTTTCTTTCATATCGCCTCTGACGGCGAACAATGTTACTACGCGGCCGCGAAGTATACCAACATAAACTTGGAGAGTTTCTCTTTCCAACGGTACCAAATTTGTCCATCTGAATTTCATTAAACGTGAGTAACATGTGTTTCAAATCGGCAACATCATTTAGACTAACCCTGTATTATGTGAAACGGTTAGTGTGTAAGATTAACCTCTATCATTTTAGAACCATAAAACAAAAATTCTGTTGAAACTTGGTTTTAATGTCTTTACAAACCATTTCACAAAAGGGCAAATATAAATTTTGACACGTCCTCACGTCTCGTTATTAAAACGGAGATGAAATTTAGGTTACAATTTCAATATACTTAATTAATCCTTCGAATGCGAGGCAAAGTTAAAACATTTTAGAACGACAATAACAAAATCAAAACGACATACGAAGATACAGAGAGCATATTAAATTCTAGGGACATTTAACTAAGAACATCTTAGCTTTACGTAACGTCCTTAAAATATAACGTAATATAACAGACCTCTAGATACATCGCACCTCTTGATAAAAATTCGTGAGAAAGGGTTTTCACTCTGAAACAAACAAACTATGGTTGTCTGTGAACAAATTACTGGGGAGAACATTAGGACCTTGAAACTAACATTAGGTTGTACGAAATTGCATACTTACGAGATTTGTAATTTGTATGGTATTTTATTATTATCACAGAGTAATAAAAGAAAGAATATTTAAATCCATTGTAATACCGCCTTCCCATCTATGACCGTATCTACCAATCTGCCTTTTACATTCAGACGTTCGGCTAAAATGTTGTATACAAATTTGTGTGTGAGATTCTCGCTGTATACCTTGCAAATCTTATCCAACTTCACGTGATAATGCGAAGGGAAATGTAGAAAATCACTTTCATCCCGAAATATTCGACAGTCGTCAAAGAAAGGCCTACCTGTAATTTAACAATCTTACCAAAGTCCAGATAGCGCGCAGATCGTTTGTAGTTCTCCACACAGACGAAATCCGTTCGTTCGGGGCTGATCTAAAGCTTTATTTGATTGTAATAAGCGACCAGCGCTTGCACGTCGCTCGATTCCGGGAGGAACTGAATGGCCTCGAGCCAAAGAGCAGTTTCCTCGTCAAAACACGATTAGCGCTCTACAGCGTGAGGCCGTAACTCCGGTTGTCCTCGAGTTAATTAATAGCAACTTCTGACGATCTCTCCAATCAGCGATTAGTCTCTAAACTGATCGATAGTCACACATTTCTTAAGCGCCATTCATACACGTTCCTTTCTTATGTATCAGCGCCCGGTACGTCACCGATAACGGCAGAATCAATCCGTGCTACATGTCCGGCCCACATGTTCCTCCTTGAAGAAAGCAGACAAATGTTTGCATGTTAATTGTTTTTACAGGTTTCATTTACTTCAGAAGATGACTGTCTTCTCCGATATTCCGATGTGTGTAGAAATTGACCGACGTTTCAGAGGTTGTTGCTGACCGTCGAAAAGGACAGCGGAAGCCATGAACCTCACGGGCACGGCGCCTGAAGGGCCGACACACTCCTTACGTGTCGTTTTATCACGCACCTGATAGTATATTGACACATGTGTCGCAAACACGTGATAACGAAATGTTTGTTGTGTGTCACTTTGACACAAATAACTCTGTTCGGAACACAAAGCGAAAGGACTGTTGTTTTGTGTGGGTGCGAAACATGGTCTCTCACTCAGAGGGAGGAACATAGATTGCAGGTGTTTGAGAATCGGGTGTTGAGGAGGATATTTGGGCCTAAGAG